TCAAGGGAGGACTCTCAGCCCATTGCGTAACATTCAGCGGAGAGGAAAGTACAAGTACTGTCCCTATCCCTTGACTTGTTTTCCATTTTGATTTAGTTACTTGGCAAAGTCTTGGTATCCTGTAGTGGAGGAATGAAAGACAAGCGAGTTCCAATGAAGGACCGTGCCTCCAAGGGCATCAGCCAATGGATGGTTTGTGAGGCCAGGCAGGTGTTAAATTTCATATTGTTGTTGGGCAGAGGGATTCGAGTTTCAAGAGACGACTTGAAAAACATCATCCTATGGTACTTGCAATTTTTTTCTGAAAGGGAATTCTTTCCTCTCTCCTCCCTCAACACTGTATGCTGTTGTGGTTAATATACCTACACTTTAAAATATCACAGCTACTAGGAGGGGCCATTTTATAGCAAAATCATTTCCCCACATGTTCTGTGATATTTCAGTTTGGCAGTAGAGTTTACAAGGTTTGAAATCAAAGCAGCGTTGGTTCCTTCAGGGAAAAATGATCCCAATCTACCAAAATAAAAGCCAAACAGACTCTTAATTGTTCCTTTTTCCACAAGGGGCTTGCCCTTTTTGAAGGTGTGGGTTAGTTTGATAGGACCTTCTCTCCAACAAGGTTAGTCACTGGAAATTGCCTCTTCCCCTGGGTAAAACCCACTTTTAAATCTATTTTAAAACAGACCTCAAAGTGTCTTTGAAAATAAAAGTGCTTTGGCATCTCTCCATTCTCTTGCCTCCTCCCTCTCAGCAAGGAGATTCCAGTTTTCTCACAGGGCACCCCTACTGCAGTGTCTAATCCTCATGCTAAATTAGGAAAGATTTACATTTTATAGTTTTTACTGAGCTCTCCATGTGTTGTGAAAAGTTAAATAAATGCTAACCAGGGGGCTAAATTTTTTTCTCGTTTTCCATCAAGGCTAGTTCCATAAATTTTACAATCTCAGGTTTTTCTATTGGTTGTTAGTCTGGTGTTCATCGAAACATTCAGAACATCAGCCTTAACTTTCCCCAATCTTTTTTTTTTAATTTTAAAGATTTACTTATTTATTTTAGAGAGAGAGCACGGGTGAGCGCGAGCAGGGGGAGGGGCAGAGGGAGGGAGAGAATCTCCAGCAGACTCCTCACTGAGCGCAGAGCCTGACACGGGGCTCGATCTCACAACCCTGAGATGATGACCTGAGCGAAATCAAGTGTTGGACGCTCAACTGAGCCTCCAGGCACCCTTCTCACCCCCAACCTTCTTAACCTGCTTTGACTAAAGGTGCAGGACTATGCCATTCATGAATCCTTGTTCTCTATGTCAACTCTTCTACTCCTTGGAGATTTGAAAAATATCACCTTATGCTACTTGCAAATTTTTTCTCAGTGCGTAAGGATTTTCAAATCAAACCAAGGTTGGTTTTTTTTTCCCTCTCGTCCTCTTTTCTTCCTCCAGTGTCTTACGGTCCATGATTTGGCAACGCCATGCTGGAGGCTCCTGAGCCACCAGTCACATGAGAATGAAGGCAAGAAAAGAAAGGACCAGATGGCGTCAAAAGATAGGCCTTTCTAGGTCGTTGGTAGTTAAGCTTGCAGTCTGGTTTGCCAGCAGGGAGACCATGGGGAGGGTGGAGGGCAGCACAGCACATTGTAAGGGAAGAAGAATTCTGCCATACAGTGCGTTTCGGTAATCCGCTGGGGAGAAAAGTTACACATTAAGGTGAGTGAGTTTTCTGATTAGACTTCCCAGTTTACAGTCACAGGGTATCACATTGCTCTGGGAAGGGTGAATTTACCTAAAACTGGCATAATAAGCACATGTGGAAAACCGTGTGCAGTATTTGGATGGCAGCTTTGAAAAGTGTGGCTCCCACTTGGTCAGTTTCTGTCCTTCAACTGCCATTAACCTTTTGTTACTCTATTCTCCAAATGTCTGATTGTCTTACAAGTATAAAAACTGGAGGAAATGACATTTGGCCCTCACAGAGAGACCTTTCCCCACAGGAGAGCAGAGGACATCATTTACCATTCATTCTTCATACTCCTACCTATTTTAGAGGATTGTATGTATAAAACATGCAAAATGGCATCCCTGGTCTTTGTGAGACATGATAACTCAGGGTATGTTTTCTTAAGCTGTAACTTGGAGCACATTTATAATTACTTGACTGAAGAAATGTTCAATAGTGGCTAATAAAAAATATTTTAGAGGGTAGTCTGCCTTTGCCGTTCATCAGGCCATCTTACATGGTGACTCCCTTGGCCTGGGCAGATTCTGATTTGTCAGTGCTTTTGCAGACCACCAGATTGCTGAACTTGGCCGATATTTCCATACAAAATTCCAGCTTCGTTGTTTTCCCCTGAAAGAAAAAAGTAACTTGATTTCAATACTATACTCTTTTAATTACCTTGAAAAGCCTTGCTTTTTCATAGACAAATTCAGTATCCCTCAAGTCCAAAGTCAAGTTTCAGCTTCTCTTATAAGTCTGCTTTCCCCAGTTACAATCTCCCCTTTTATTCAGATTCTGTTGCCCTGGATTTCTGTATGACTCATTTCATTATGAACGAAATGAAACCAAACAATATGTTTCGTTCTGTAGTCTAGATTACAAACTCTTAAAGTTCACGTTTCTTTTTTGACTTCTACCACTCAAGCAAGTGTGTGGAATACTGCTGAATACACAAAGTCATGTAGTAAATATATATCTCAATAAGAAGAAGAAAGAGAAAAAAACATAGACATTTTAATATTATGTTAGTGGATTTCTACCTAGATTTTAATATGACTTAGATCTCACAAAACAAAAAGTGACCCAGCCATTTTTTCCTTGATGTAAAACTCTCGTAAGGAGTCATTCTGAAGTTCCTTAAACTCAACGTAAAAGATATTTCCTGTATATGCACTGAATTTCTGGGGTTAAGAAAATAAAATTGACAAATTATTCTTGTGGCAACATGTTAACTTTGTTAGTTGCTCTATTAACTTTTTTAGATGACTGAATTCAGAGCCCCCTTGGGAGCCTCTAGTTATTAGCAAAACCACCACCAATCTTTCTCTCCATCCTCCAGTCATATATGAGTGCAGTTGTGAGGCGTATCCTATAATTCTAATGAAGAGTTTAAAGGCACTTTTTACTATGGATTTTTTTTTGTTTTTTGTTGTTTTAGTCTGCTCAGCTAAAGCACTCAGTGATCATGTGAGTCCTCACTTAAGAGGTTTTCCAGTTAAAAATGAGAATTTTACTAAAGGTTCTATGATTTAGGATAGCATAGCAGGAGAGCAGAATGACTTTAAAATTGTTAAATCTCATTAAGGGGAATTCATTGATATACCTTTAATTTAGGGGAAAATTTAAAATTCCTTTATCTACAGCAGATATGTCAGATTTCAGCCTGGAGCCAACTATTAGATTTGAGTTACTGAACTCAGTAAAGAGATTTGGAATGGAAATACTAATGGACCCCTAACTATAGCTGGGGTAGTGGGTATTGGAAGAATCTTGACAGTTCATTACCAAACCTCTGACCTCACTACCCTTAATCATCCTTGCTTGTCAGTGACATAATGGTTGCTTATTGTCTTCTCCTGCCCCGCTTTCAAATTGCTAGCATTTGAGAATTTCACTTATTATTTCTTGTGTATTAAGACCAAGAAAGCACAGTTTTGTGGGTGAACTATAAGCCATTTTGGCCCTCTTTGAGAGGATGATGTGTTTTGTTCCTGGTGCAATTGAGACAGTTGCTAAATGGTCAATTATAACTCTTTAAGGAATAAGGATAACCTGTGAACACGTTTGTGGATTTTCTTTTCAGATATACTGTTTATTAATTGCTGAATTATGTTATGCTTATGAAGCACAGAACCAAAGATGTGGACTAGCATTGTTTTAGTGTACAATTATATACCCAGAACTCTCATCATGGTGATCATAGTACCTTTAGGATACAGGGAAGGTAAATCCATGAGACTCTGTGCTGAAGTTGCCCATAGGATGGGTGGATTAAAGAATGCAATAATTTTTGTAAAGAATTTTGTCAGGGTGCCTGGGTGGCTCAGTTGGTTAAGCACCTGCCTTCGGCTCAGGTCATGATCCCAAGGTCCTGGGATGAAGCCCCATGTTGGACTTCCTGCTCAGCGGGGAGCCTGCTTCTCTCTCCCTCTGCCCTCCCCTGATTGTGCTCTCTCATTCTCTCAAATAAATAAAAATCTTGAAAAAAAATTTTTTACCTAGCTTTTTCCCATGTGTAGAAAATTGGAGGTATGATAATGAGAGAGAGAGGAGAGGGGCAGAAATAAAAATTTAAAACTAATTGGCTGGTACACTGAGATATTAGGAAACAGGTGTTTATGGGTTGTTGTTTCAATGGCTGAAGTTGACCACAGAGCCGTATATTTTGCCTAACCCTGTCCTAGCTGATCACACAGTTTTGCTGTTACTAATGTGCTGAATCATACGAAGTTGCCATTTTTATAAGTGAGAATTGTATATCAGGAATTTTCTGTGGTTCATCCTAGTACGTAACAACATGTGACACTGTAGGATGGCTACAGTTGTAGAGAGAGGTGTGTGTAAAAGATGGGAGGGGAGAAATGGAAATTCGTGAGCAATTTATACCCCGTGGGGTACTCCAGCTGGAAACTGCTACTCTAGCCTGTGGTTCTAGGCATTCAAAATCAAATACAATTAATTGCCCTAGTATGCTTTCCTACTTCCACATTAATACAGTTGGAGACAGTTTAAGGGGGTGGCTTAAAAATTAAATAAACTCTGACGGAGATTACCACTGGGGATAATAATCTGAAGTGACCGAGTCTGTAGAGTACAACAGAAATGGCGGAGACTGAAAACCAGCAGGCATGCCTGTACTTGCACATCCTTTGAAACTGAAGAATTAGAGGTGTAACACGGATAGAGACTAAATAATCTGTGAATTAATATTTGTCTTAAAATGGGTTTTAGGATGTTTCTAGTGGAATATTCAGGCTGTGCTGATTTCATTTTTGTTGTCTTTTGTAGACGAGCTCATCTGCGCCTGTGTTTAGAACGCTTGAAAGTTCTGATTCCACTAGGACCAGACTGTACCAGGCACACAACACTTGGTTTGCTTAACAAAGCCAAAGCACACATCAAGGTGAGAATTTCTTTCATATTTGTACATGATTGTCTCAGCCCTTGTTTCATTATAAGCAGTGCTTCCTATTCATAAACATCAGCTAGCTCACTGTGTCCTCCTTAATAACTGACCTCAAGAGGAATCTTTCTGAAAACTTACCAGCTAACCTGATGGGAGCAACATAACCTGATTAAATTGTTTTGACAGCATGGTCATTTGAGGAGCTGGGAATACTAGGAAACTAACAATTGCTCTGCTGACCGGCAGAAGGAACGCAGTTGTGCCCTCTGGTGGAGATGACTTTATTTGGCTGTGCCCCTCAGTATTTTTCCATCGAACTACAGTGCAGAGCAAGTTTCTCTTTCATGGAGATAACTTTACAGACTTTGAGAATTTCATACTGTTCTAGTAATGTAGCATTCATTACGCACACACACACAAAAAAGAAAGAACTATTTTGGTGTTTAAAAATATGTATTTATGTATGTTTTTATATATACACACACACATATATACTTGTATATTCATTCATATTTTCTCTACCAAAGAAGAAATCTTTTAAGTTGTTAGGTAAAAATGAATTTTATTGTTTGTACTGGACTGCACACAAGTATCATTTTATCATTTTAGAAACTTGAAGAAGCTGAAAGGAAGAGCCAGCACCAGCTAGAGAACTTGGAACGAGAACAGAGATTTTTAAAGCGGCGACTGGAACAGCTGCAGGGTCCTCAGGAGATGGAACGAATACGAATGGACAGCATTGGGTCAACTATTTCTTCAGATCGTTCTGATTCAGAGCGAGGTAGGCAGTTTGCTTCTTCCCTAATGAAATACTAAGCATCCCTGTATCTAAATTGAGGCAGGGTAAGTTGGAAAGCACTGTATTTGCTTTCTTCTCTTTGGCCAATACTGCACCATTCTGGATTTTGTGCAGTCGCAACATTGTCTAGCAATGCCTGAATGAACTATAAAACTTTTTTTCCTTGTTATGTAGTTATATATTTTTAACTTTCTACTTTGAAACAATTTTTTTTAAGATTTTATTTGAGAGAGAGAGACAAAGATAGCGACAGAGAATGTGAGCTGTGAGGAGGAGGAGAAGCAGACTCCCCGCTGAGCAGGGGCTCTCTCCCAGGACCCTGGGATCATGACCTGCGCCGAAGGCAGACGCATAACCGACTAAGCCACCCAGGCGCCCCTCTACTTTGAAACAATTTTAAACTTACAGAGAAGTTGTGTCTTCTGTAGAAAATTGTAGAGTTCTCGTATACTCTTCACCCAGGTTTCCCTACTGTTAACATCTTTTGTAGACATAATACAATCACTGCAACCAGAAAATTAACATTCATGTAATATTATTAATCTATAGACCTTACTCAGATTTCACCAGTTTTCCCACTAATGTCCTTTGTCTGATCTAGGATCCAATGCAGGATCCAATATTGCATTAGATAGTTCCTCCATCTCTATGACCGTGACACTTTTGAAGAGTATTGGCCAGTTATTTTATACAGTGTCTCTCAAGTGTCTGATGTTTTCTCATTAAGTTGATGTTATACATTTAGGGGGAAGAGATATCACAGAGTGATTTGTGCCCTTCTCAATTCATTATATTAGGAAGATACATGATGTTGATATGTTTTATAATTGGTGATGTTAATTTTTATGTCTGTATTTTAAAGTACCACACCCTTCATTTCTCTTTCCATCCGTCCCAGAACATTTGTCTTTGGCAGAATGAAAGACCAAGAATCAACCAAAAATTTTGTTTGAATTTTACTGATCTGTTCATCTAAAGTTCCCACCACATCAGGCCTCACAACACAATAGAAGATCCCAGAGGTGAACTCTCATGATTTTAAGCATTATATTAGGGAAAATAGAGCTCACGAGATCTTGAGGATTCTAAAACAAAAAAGGAATTGTTTGTAAAATTTGTTTTGACTTTTTATTATGGAAATTTTCAAACATACACAAAAGTAGAATAGAATATTGAATTCTCATGTACCCATCATCCAGTCTGAACAGCTGACAACATTCTGCCATTCTTGTTTCATTGATTCTCCACCCCCTCATCCTCACTGTTTTTTCTGGAATCTTTTAAGTCAAATCCCAGATAACATTATCATTTTGTCCCTAAATACTTCAGCATGTATCTTTAATAAATGGGACTTAAAAAATAATCATAATGCTATTATATCCCACAAAATTAATAAAATCAGATAATCTTAATGTCGAATACCATCAATTTCTGATAGATTTTCTCAAAGACGGCATTTTACCATTGGTGTGTTTGAAGTAGAATCCAAACCAAGTCCATATTGCATTTGTTTATGCCTTTTATGATACTTTTCATCTATAATAGTTCTCACTTCCACATTTTTTTCTCCCCAGTGCCATTTATTTGTTGTAGAAACAGAATCATTTTGGGGCCCTTGGGTGGCACAATCGGTTGAGCATCTGACCCTTGGTTTCAACTCAGATAGTGATCTTGGGGTAGTGAGATCAAGTCCCCCATGTCAGGCTCTGTGCAGAGTCTGCTTGGGATTCTCTCTCCCTCTGTCCCTCTCCCCACTGTCCACTCTCTCATATAAATAAATAAATCTTAAAGAAATCAAAAGGAACGGAGTCATTTTTTTAAATAATTTTTTATTGTTATGTTAATCACCATACATTACATCATTTGTTCTTGATGTAGTGTCCCATGATTCATTGTTTGTGCATAACACCCAGTGCTCCACGCAGAACGTGCCCTCTTTAATACCCATCACCAGGCTAACCCATCCCCCCACCCCCCTCCCCTCTAGAACCCTCAGTTTGTTTCTCAGAGTCCATCGTCTCTCATGGTTCGTCGGAGTCATTTTTCTTATAGAACTTCCCATGTTCTAGATTTGGCTGATAGAATCCACATGGCATCATTTAACATATTCTTCTGTCCCTCCTATTTCCTGTAAACTGGTTGGTGGATCTAGTAGCTTGATTAAATTCAAGTTCTTTTTTTGAGGCTAGAATACTTCATAGGTGGTGCTGATACATTTATGCAAATCTCAACCTTTCACTTAATAGTTTTAGCAATCATTAATGATGGTCCCCATTATTATTTTATTAGGTATTACAAATAGTATTTTCTAATTCTGACATTCTTTTCACATTTATTAACTTTTTAAAATAACATTTCCTCATCAACTTTTTTGGTTACCCTGAAATCAAGTCCATATAGGGAAGATGGGATAAAATTTTTTTTGTCAATTTTCTGAATTAATGAATCGGTGTCTTAGCAACCTCCAGAGGTAACAGGGTTTTTTGTTTTGCTATTTGGTTTTGATTATCTTATGAACTCCTAGGTTTTTTTTTTTTTTAAGATTTTATTTATTTGACAGAGAGAGACACAGTGAGAGAGGGAACACAAGCAGGGGGAGCGGGAGAGGGAGAAGCAGGCTTCCCGCGGAGCAGGGAGCCCGATGCGGGGCTCGATCCCAGGACCCTGGGATCATGACCTGAGCCGAAGGCAGACGCTTAACGACTGAGCCACCCAGGCGCCCCAGTTTTCATGTTTTGAATGTGTTCCAATCCATTGTAGTCTTTTTATTCTAATACTCAAATTTCCCATATTCCATAGAAACATTTCAAATTGATTTTTGATCCCTTTTAACACAACCCTAAGAGTCCTGGGGTTTGTTGCTGTTGTTTTGCTGTTTAAGTTTGTTTTTATGTGGCACTCAGTTTTAGAGAACAGAAGTTTAACCAGAGGCAGCAGCAGGAACCTCAGGGACATGCTACATTTATGAATGACAGTGAGGTGTAGAAGGAATGACCCCAAATTAAGAGGCAGACCTTGATCCTAGTCTTCTACTGGTTACTGGCTGTGTGACTTTGTCAGGTCTGCAGGCTTTAGCTGCCCTTCCTGCTGTTAACTCCTCCTTGTACCCACCCCACCTCCAAATTTGAGAAAGGGTGTGTCTTCATCATTATAGTTCCCATTGTTTTAGTAGTCCCCATGTGCTACTACCTCTTTCCCAGTATTACAAGGGACTTTTAGGAATATCTCTAGTTCACTGGGCTAGCACAGTCTCTCATTTTACTTTGTTATGATTGAGTACAGCAAGCTCTGCTGGATAGGGTGTTTTGATTCTATTTTCCAGTTGTAGGTTGGATGAGTATTCTGTGATACCGGGAAACACCAAATAGCCTGTGAAGCATTATGGATGTAAAACAAATAGTTATGAATTCATAGGATTGTTTGTACAGCTTGTTTGGACAGATGCCTGCATTTTAGAAACAGATTTCTAAACCTTTTTGAAGCAACAAGCCCTTTTGAAAATTATACTCTTTGAAATAACTTACTCTGTCTTCTTGGGCTCAGCAAGAATTCACTTTTCCTAAAAGCAATTGTGATCAGTATGAACCCTTAGAGTCAGTGCCAAATATGAAACATCAGACTTTGAGCTTATAAGAATTGAAGGATCTTGAGTTTGTTCTGTTATGGGACAGAACAGTTTTTCAACTGCCTTTTGGTTTTCAAAATGTGTATTTTATGTAGTATTGGTGATTGTATATGTAGTATTTAACAAACTGTTGATAGCTGGTCATATGTGTTTAGGGATTTTTAAAAAAATCATGTTTGATTTTGAAGTAAAGTTAAATACCATTACTGAAATGCCTTTACTGTTATCTTTGCTATTGATCTCACTATAACTCAGAGGCTTTTAAGGCTCACAGCCTCATTTCAAGCTATATTTGATGCAAGAAAATTAAATCAAATTGAAGACAAATCCCTCAGAGTTCACTCTATAATGACTGGCTTAGTTCAGTTACTGAATAGTCAAAGGTCTTTATAATGAATCCTGGAAGTCTGTAGAACTGTCTGTAGAATGAGACTGCCAAAGGCAAGAATAAATGGATAAATTTTCTACACTTGATCTTAGCCAAAAGGCCGAGAAGCGATAATAAATGGATAAATTTTCTAGTTCACCTATACTAAGTTGATGCTTTTTCTCCTCTTTAAGGCAACTCTGATTAATAAACAACACTGAGAATTAGTTTCTAGTTTAATGCAAAACAGATGTTGTTAAACCACTTGGGGTTGGGATCTTTTAATATTAAGCATTAATTCCCAAATAGGCTGAGTGCTTTTGGTGGGAGGTCCAGACGGACTGGCGTCAATGGCTTTAGTAAACTTGCTGATTGAGACCACCACTGGATACCAGACATTCCCCTTTGAAAATATATCCGTGTCTCTTCACCTTCAGTTACTTCTGTTACCCAGAGATCACTGATAATAAGCTTGTATAATTATTTTACACTACAAAAAATAATCACTTTTTCTTATGCCCTTTTCTCATTAGTTTTTGAAAGTGCAGATTACTAATGTTCTTCCTTTTTTCTCTTTGGCAGAGGAGATTGAAGTGGATGTTGAAAGCACAGAGTTCTCCCATGGAGAAGTGGACAATATCAGTACCACCAGCATCAGTGACATTGATGACCACAGCAGCCTGCAGAGTATTGGGAGTGACGAGGGTTACTCCAGTGCCAGTGTCAAACTTTCGTTCACTTCCTAGAACCCAGCATGACATAACAGTGCAGGGCAGAATATTCACTGGGCCAATTCAATCCAAACAATCTCTTAAATTGGGTTCATGATGCAGTCTCCTCTTTAAAACTAAACAAAACTATACTTGAACAAAAGGGTCAAAAGACCTCTATTTAAGCAATTACTTAGCAAGTGGGGCCGAGCCTCCCCAGCAGAACAAATACTCATAATATTCATATTTGAAAATCAGTTTCTAATGGCAGCAGAAAACTTGGAGAAATTTTCTTGATTTAGTTGATTTGAAAGAGGACATTGGAGACTCTGTCCTCTTTTTCTTCTGCAGTTTGCTCATGATACCATGAGTAGACACAATTTAAGGATGGGGTTATGAACCCTTCCTGAGTTTTATGGTCCTAAAAACAAAATCAAACCTATAGTAATGGGAAGACAAGATAATCAGGCATTAACTTGGATAGCTGAACAGCTATTAAAACTCAGCCTGGGACAGCTTCTCATGAAGCCTGTGGATGATCAATTCTTGAAAAAAAAAAAAAAAAAAGCAAGCTCATTTCATGCTCTGCAAAAGGAGAGACTCCCATGAAGCCTTTTGAAAGGGATCATCATGCAGCTCAGCTTTCTGTTGGATTCCATGCTAAGCAAGCTAACCTTATCCTGCATTGTTAGCAGTAGGGCACCCAACCGCCAGCTCGACAGTCAGCTGCCCCAGGCCCTTGGGCAGCACGGGGCAGTCTGTGTCTAATAGCCTCTACCACACAGGGCCTAGGAATTCGGATTGAGGGGCCAGAAGGAAAAAGCTCTCCATGCCTCTGTGTCTGCGTGGGCCAGAAGAATTGTGCACGCAGATTAGCAGGCCAAGGTCTGAGCCACGGCAGCATTTTTATTTCAGATTTTGATAACTTTGTATGTGTTGAAAACCAAAATGACATCTTTTTAAAGCTTGTCCATAAAAAAACATAGATGTCTTTTATAGTGGAAAAACACATGGGAAAAAAATCATCTATTTTGATGCAGCATTTGATAATGATAAAACACCTCACACCTCTTTATAGTGCACAAAATGATTGAGGTCTGGGCTAGATAGAAAAAAGGTCAATGCTGTTTTTATTTTCTTTTAGAATCATTACCTTTTACCAGCTTTTAACCATCTGATACCTATAGTAGACACACTATAATACTTAACGTAGTTAAGTTCAGCACTTGTCTCATTTTATTGTGAAGATCTGCGTCCATTCTCCTACAGGCAGTCTCTCTCCTTCCTCACAGCCCCACTGTGCAGGTGCTATTGTTGCTCTTATACCAATATTTCCAGAAACGTTTTAAGTGAGATTTCTTTTCTAGCCTGCACTTTGACGTCACGTGTTCCCTTTGCCTTTCAAAATCCAAGGTGTTCTCTACTCCCCACCCCCACCCCCCTTTACCCCAGGAAGCCTTCTTGGACCCCTTACCCCTGGCTCTTTGGACTTTGTATACTTGGAATAATTTAACTGCCCCTTAATTACTTAAAAAAAAAAAAGCTTTATGATTTTCATAACTTATTGCTGATTTTAATGGGTTGTTAATTTCAGTCCTGTAGTTTTATTTTGTTTAGATAGGGCTGGCCAAGGAAAAAGAAAATAAAGACAACCATATTTAGCAGTGCAGTTGAGTTGTGTGTAATGTTAGACTATCCTTTGTAAGTAGCACTTTAACAGCTTTCACTGCTTCTGTGTATGAAGTGTACCATCTTGGTCATACACAAGGCCTCAGCGTATACTTACTTGTTTTTGTGCTCTTCCTGTGCCTCCAAAAATATTTTATCCTTGATTGTGCTATGTTTGAGTGGAAGAAATTCTTTGAAGTAGATGTGTGAAAAACTGCATGCCTTTAGAAGCCCATTATTAGAACTTGCTACTTCAGGTGCTGGGGACTTAATGAAAAACATGATAAATTCATTTCTCTAGCCCAGGTAAATTATTTCTGGTTTCACTTATAATTACTCCTGGCTGGGTCAAAATGTTGCTCTATGTATTTGCTTACTTTTGACTTTCCCAAGGGAGACAGTTTAAAGACTCTGCTAACTACCATGGAAAGTAAGTGGAAGCTAAGGATTAAGCTTCCATTTTGTTATTCCCATGGCATTCACTTGCATCACTTGCCTAGGGCTGAAATTTTGGACTTCATTCAGGAGAACTTGAGGTGCTGCCATTTTGTTGTTTATGTACAGGTTGGTGGGCTGGGAAGCCTTTGTCACAAATCTATAGTACCTATTTCAACTGCCCTCTAAATTATTCCTTCCCTGGGTTTGTTTTCCTTGTGGGAGGGGTGTGGATTGTATGATGAGTAAGAAGTATTAATTTTTTAAAAGACAAATCAACTTTGAAGATATAAAAGTTAATTGCAAGAAATAAAAATTGTGAATGAAGAATACCCGAGTGCTTTTTGTACCACCCTTCTCTATGAAGGAAAAAATAAGAATGAGCATCCACACCTTGAGAAGCAACAATCTCCTAAATGTTTGATACACTACTTCAGTAGTCCAGAATTAATGGCAGTTTGAATCATTGCCATTTCCTGTTCTATAAACAGATGCCTTCTTGACTGATAACTCCACGTAACCTAACTGCAGATGGTTTAACGTACCCGATAATCTTAACTGCTTCAGGTAGGACACAAAGCCATTTATTATCTGTTCTTCATAACTTTTTAGGGTATCCCTTTGGCTACAACAATCCATTTAAATTTAAAATAAGTCTGGAAGTTCCTGTTTAGTCCCCACCCACTAACCTGAGTTAAGGTACCCTTTTTGTAAGATGCCTGAGTAAATGGGGGTAAATCTTCAGTGCATATTTATTACCAAAGAAGATTCTGATGGAGTCAGACTAGTTTCTGATTAGAATAGGTATGAGAACTCTGGTAGAAATGCCTTTTCTAATCCCCATGACAGTGACAGCTTTTACCATTATGAAAGGATTTTAAAAGGCAGTGAAGATTATTGAGGCAAAATTTCCTAACGTAAGGCCACATTGCCTCCTGGGTCATTTCTCACGAGAAAAGTGTTTAACCTCTTGGGGAAGGTTCTTTGGTAAGTTTTCTTCCACTTGAAGAAGCAGTAGCTGCCTTTCTTCCCTTTATTATCCTTCCACCTCAAAAATTCCATACTCCCTACCAACAATAGCATAATGTGGGAAGAACAGGGTGTTTTGGGTCACACTTAAATCCTAGTTCTAATATTTGCTAAGGACTCTGGGCAAGTTAATTTCTTCATGGAGCCTGTTTCCTCCTGAAAAGTTGTTACAAATACTACCTCTATCTTGAAAGGTTTTAAGGATTAAAATGTAAATCCCCACACATACTCAATCTAGGAGTTTGTAGCACCAAAAGAAAATAAGAGGTTTGTACTTCTCCTTTCTCTGATGAATGCAACCTTCTAATTTCTTCATCCTTAATCTTGAATTTTAGTTATTCTGACTCTGCGTCTTGCAGAAAAAGACTATTTCTAATAAATAAAATGGTTCATTTTCACAGAATTCCATGACAGGTTATACTTTGTAAGAAGTCAATTTTGATGTCCTATAGATTTTTTTAAATAAAGACTTTATAAGATTGATGTATCAGCGGTTTTAGTGATTACCTGGTCTTTCTAAAAAAAAGACTAACCTGAGCTTGAATCTGTTAAACACTAGTAGTAACCACTGCATAATGCCCTAGTTAACATTTAGTGCTGGCCTTGCCAAGAAAAAAAATCTTGGCCCATGTACTAGATCTAATAGGAAACTGGTTTTCTTGTGGAATACATCTGATTCTTCCAAATAATTAGTGTAGTTCAAAATACATGTACTGGCTGACCACCTCACTTCTTGGTTGTTTTACCTTGATATACTGTCATAAATTATTAGGGGAAATGGCTTAGATGAAGCTCTTTTAAAGTACTGCCAACTAACTTCTTACAATTTTGAAATTTTTTCCATTTCCTCAAGCTCTTAGTTGTCATGGAGGAATGCTTGAAGTCTTTATTGGTAGGGCAGTAATTGGGATATTTATCTCAGATTTTCACATCAGGGCACCAAACAGCATTATAGAGACATAAAGCCATAAGATAGCTCTAAAATGCATATTAAAAATACAAATTTCAGAAGCTAGTTGCTTCTAAACTAGCAGCTTTATCACACTCTGAAAGCTATGTCAACTAAACCTGACAGTGCTTTTGGAGGAAAAAACCTGGCAAAAGAACCAAAGGGATACTTACTCCTTCCTGCATACTTCTGAGCAATGAACAACTGGACAATTACCATCTATTAAAGACTAGCCTAGCTGCAGGTCTCAGGCTTCAACTCTAGTTTTCCCAGGATATAGAGTCAAGTGTCTTCCAAGCCTGAATTCTTTGTTTCTCTGGTCAGAAACGCACACATCTTGCTAAAGTGAGTACAGGGCTTGAAAGGGGAAAAAACAAAAGCACATCAGTTTTCACCAAGAAAGGCAAAATCATGAGCCAGCAAAATAATAAACACGACTTTGGGCCTCAAGCTGAGAAAGTAGCTCTTCAAACAAGCAACCTTTTCTCTTAATGCATGTAACTACGGCTTCTTTAGCTGTGATTTTAAGAAAGTAACCAGGAAAACAAATTACAATTCTAGTAATTTCAGTAACTTAAATCTGTACTGGTTTCATAAAAGTGAACTGAAGTGCCTGGTGTAAGTAAAATGTCCGTTTTTATTTCCTGGGAACTGAAAGATGACTGTATCCAAAATTTGGTATTTTTAGCTAGTTCAGCTGTCAACTACCACAAACCCAATAGTATTCTCAGATCTGTTTACCCCACTCAAGGCCACAAAAGAACCACATTTACATATACATAAGCTGAAAGGCAGAAAAGGCAATCAAAGAACCTCACAGAACTCTTAACACCTTCATCTTATATTTTACTTTCTGTTGGCTGGGCCAAGACAAATTCTTAGAATGCCAATATTAGTCTCTGCACCTTTTAAGGTATTTAAAAACATATCTATACATAAAAAAATCATAGTATAAGGGGATTCAATTACTTGTGTTTCTGTTTGTTTAAACTATGGTATAACCTGCTCTATTGCCTGCTATGTTCTTCCTCTCCACTGTAGTAAAAATTCAGTTTAACGTGCAACTCTAAAACCCTAGATATAAAGAATGTTTACATTTACTGTTGAACAGGTAAACTACCATTTATACTAACTGGTTGCTTCATAGTATAATACAAATAACACAATTCAGCAGATATTTATTGAACTCTCAAGATTTTAACAAATATAAAACCTTACTGGTTTTAAGATTTTTTCTTCTTTCATCTTTCAGTTAATGTCCAAGTTGAGGCAAAAAGTCAAACCAGAACTCCAAAAATATTTTTTGGCTAAATTTGCAGAAGTGACATTTTTCACCTTTTCTAATTACAACCTACAGACACAATTTATAAAACTATGATTTTCATTTGTTACCAGATGGTTCTCTCTTGCTATTTTTTTCTTAACATTTGAGAGAGTGAGAAAGCACATGCACAGGAGTGGGGGAAGAGGGGAGGGGCAGAGGGAAAGGGAAAAATCTCAAGCAGACTCGAGCTGAGTGTGGAGCCCCACACAAGGCTCCATCTCACCACCCTGAGGTCATGACCTGAGCCCAAATCGAGTCGAACACTTAACCCACTGAGCCACCCAGGCGCCTCTTCCCTTGCTATTTTAAAGGCAGATACACTCAGCATTAAAGCTGCATTGTAATGGAAAACACCCACATACATATATACTATGACAAAGCATATTAAAATAATGAGTTATGACAGATGCATTTCATTTTGGTCTGATGCCTAATCTTAATTGGGCTAAGGAAATTGCCCATTAGTAATTTTTCCTTCATTTCAAAAATCAAACTGTTTTTACATTTAATGTAAACATGGTTCTAAGGCCAGGGATGCACATCAGAATCACCTGTGGCGTTTGTCAAAAACAGACATACTTTGGCCTAAATAGGTCTGGAATAGGATCTAGATCCAGAAATCCCATTTTTAATTTTAAGCAAGCATTAGGGTAACTTTATTATAACCTGTACTCCCTTCCCATCAGAGACATGCCCTAAAATATTCTAATATAAAAATTTTAACTTCTACTGGCATGTACTTAATATATAACTTTGGTAATTTGACAGCAGTTCAGTAATACATTTATAATTAGGGACTTCAAATTATACGCAATGGGCATTGTTACCCATTATAATGTGAATTGTCATTGTTAAGGTTAGGGAAAAAAAGATAGTCACCATTACCACTTGCACAGTAAATAGCAAACACTTCTACAGTGTTTACCATGTCAGGTATTCTAAGCAATTTACACATATTAACTCACTCATCCTTACAACCTAATGAAACTGGTATTTTCATTCTACAGCTGAGAAAGCTAAGACAAGTTATGCACACAGGTAAAAATGAGGGGCCAGGATTCTAAAGCAGTCTGGCTCCTCAGTCCTTGGCTCTTCCAGTATGGCCTTTCTACATGTTAACTAAAAAAGCATTTATTGTCTGTGATACTAAAATCTAATTATTTGGGGGGTATCAGGACTGTTCTTTCCTTGATATGATCAGTAACAAAGTCAAATGTCAAATTTTGAGAAGATCCATGCAACCACAGCTACTTGGGGGCTGTACATGACTCACATCATGAACTCATTCTGAGTTTGAGCTTCAAGACTCCCTTCTTGATGGGGTAACTACATTAAATTTTATAACGGAGTGTTACATATATAACAAAGTGTCATATTTGGTTTTAGAGTTTTGAACTTAGCCACCTTCACTTGTAAAATATCACTGGCTATCATGCTTCTCATGAAAGCATCACACTAGGAGATAGATGCTCCATCCCCCCAGGGATCCTGTTAGTTTAGTCCAGAAACATGATCATTATCTTGACACTAGGACTTTTCAAAGCGCCACATCTAGGTCTTTTGACACAGGGACTCCTGATCTCATACAATTTTTTAATGTTTTATATAGTATGGTCACCTTTATTCCTTTTCTCTCTCCTGCAAAGCCCCTCCAGGAAAATTAATGTGCAGAAAGGAAGCCCTTGGGTCAAAGGAGATACAAGTTTCAACATTAAGTCTTGCCTATACAAGTAACAGGTAAATTACTACTCCAACAAACATACCAAGGTAATTTCACCAAAACCCATTTTGTGTGGTCACACCATTGTACCAAATTTCTTTCCAAGTGCTTTTGAATTTAAAGGGTTCCCTTGCAACCCTTCAAAGATACCATTATTAGTTAAGAGATTTGTTACACTGGTAACAAGAACAGTGTATTTTTAGGGAGTTCTTCAGGCTAAGTAGTCCTATTCTGCTGTAATTTGTGCCTTGTATTTAAAAAAGACTTCACCTTTCATTCTGTCCTACATGTTCTACCCTGTGGCCATAAATTATAGGAAGGAAAACTGATCCTCCTGGGTTGGGAGAGAGGTGAAGGGGCAAGATAAAGAATTCTAATTCTCATCACGGTCCTAAGTTTCAATTTGCCAAAATATTTAAAAGTCATTAAAATTTTTTTCTCCTTTTACCAAAATGTACAAACACCTCTATACACAGCACAAGCCCTTAAGATAAAAATAGTTTGTCCTTTAGGATCCAATTTCTTATGTCTAATGGAAGAAGTACATAAGGATTTATTGAAACCTTTATCACATACTCAATATTCTCTTCTGTGGAAATGATGAATGCAAGCAAGAAGACTGAAGCTTAATCACTGTATCAGTGCTGTCAGCTAGGACTTCACCACCCTTCTGGTAACACACCCTGGAGATTTTAAAAACACTTTATTTAATAAAAGTTAAACATACAAAAACTGAAATTAACACATACCCTAAAAATCACCATCTTCCATTAATAGGAAGACACTTTACTATGCATATATTTGGCTTAAACTCAACTCAGGATAACTGTGATGTTCACTTATACCAACAAATGCTGACAACTTGATCTAGTTAACAAAAATTACAAACTCAGCTACATGAACATAATATACAGGGAAATTATGGTCAGATTAATGCACAAGAAATACAATAAATTTTTAATGATGAAACATTCAGTACTCTTGTTCATTAATTTAGCCTTGGGGATTTTTTTGTTTTTTTACAAAAATAGTATCTACACTGTATACAGGGCTATACATCAGCTTTTTGTTTTCTTATATAAACATTACACATCCAAAAATGGTACCACTACCATAAGGGAAAAATCAACACAGGAAAAGAGCATATGTTAAAAAAAAAAAAAAAAAAACACAACAGAGAAAAACCCTTAGAAAAGGAAGCTGGTCCTAAACATGGTTTTTATATAAAATTAAAACTCAATGAAAAAATTTTAAGAGCTGGATCAATTTTAGAGATAGCCTAATAGGCTTAAGAAACAAATTATTGAAGGAAAACCCTCAAAACAAAGTTTCTCATTTTAAATTAATCAAATTAACCTACTTTTAGGCTTAATTAGCAACAGCTATGGGTTTAAGTTGAAAAAAAAAAAGACTTCTTTAGCAGGTTGGTATTTTGCCTTGATGTTCCAGTGAATTGCTACAATATGTGGCAAGTTCAGAGCATCTGAAAATTCCAAGTTAGGACTTTACAAAAAGTACACACCATCAAGTAAGGGCCTGGTATTAGGAAGATCAACAATTCATCTAGTGCTGTATTTATGCAGCATCTATCTAGAAAAGTTGCTTTATTCAACAAACTTTGAGGAAATCTGTGGTAGTAGTAACGAAAAGTTAAATGAATAGCAGTTATCAAATGCAATTTCTTCAAGTTTCATTCTATTGAAGTCAAACAAGGACAACAACAGTATCTTCCTTACTCATCTAACAAATAATTTACCTTTAGAAAAATATAAGGATAAAAAGGTAAATGTAAAGCCCTGCAGAGATGAAATCCAACAGTTTTTCTGATTATTGAGGCATCAAATGCCTGACATTGTATTTAGAGGTATCTTGATATTGTGTCATAGGTTTATCAGCAATTCCACAAGTTCCTACTCCAACTTTTCCGGTTACACTCTCAGGAGAAGCAAAAATACTCCTTTTTACCTAGTGGAAATGAAAAAAAAACCATTCTGATTAGTTTTTTGGGGAAAACATTTCCAAAATACACTTAAGTACAGGACACATCAAAGGAAGTGGAGCTCTCTTTTAAATAAAATCTACCAGTGGATGCCCAGCATATAAAACATGTTAACAAAGCAGGTAAAGTTCATCACACTCCCTCTAAGTGGTATGTAAGGTACCAAATAGTTTTTCAAATTTTAGTTTATAGAAGGGTAAACAATCTAGATCTTTTGTAATTTCTGATATAAACTCTCTCATTCATAGTGTTTCTATTGCAGAGAGACAGTGGCTAATGGAGATATTTTACAATAAGCCAAACAGAACATTAAAGAGGATTTTGAATTCAAGATCCAGTTATGTATTTTTTTTAAACCTATGTACCTCCCTTTTGCATTTTAAGGTTATTTTAATGACAATTACACTTTTCAAATTTACGAAGTACAATGAAAGGATTTACTAACCTGGCCTTTTTTGTTTTTAGAATAGGCTCTGTTGTTGAACTGTTGCCATTTAACCTTCTGGTCCTCTCTTTCCTGCTCAAGTTCTTTTATTCTCTGTGCTTTTTTCAAAGCTTTCTTCTTTTTATATTCACGCTGTTGGGCAATCATTTCTTTTCTGTGTGGATATAACAGCTAAATGTCAACTCTTAAGATTTAATAGATGATTTCCTTAGAGATATTTAGCAGTACAAAAAGCAAACAAACAAAAATATCTGTAATAAACTTACACATTACATGAATAGAAGCACTAACACCAACAATGCCAATCACCGAGTACTACTAAGAGATGTTATTTGAAATACACAGCATCCCTGGAAGCTTTCATACCATATCTGTAATCTATTACCTATTCAAATCAAATACTTTAAGATTTTATTTATTTTACAGAGAGCGAGCGAGTGTGTGCAAGTGGAGGGAGGAGCAGAGGGAGAAGCAAACTCTGTGCTAGGTGCACAGAGCCTGACATGGGGCTTGATCCCGGGACCGTAAGATCATGACCTGAGCCGAAATCAAGACTCATTTGCTCAACTGACTGAGCCACCCAGGCACTCCTCAAATCAAATATTTAAACTATGACTTTCTGATGTTTACATTGCTTTTGCCAGGTGCATTTTAGAAATGAGTTTTAACATTAATAGCTTTCTAAACCTTTATCCATTTCTAAATGGACAGTTAGCAAGGTTAATGTGCTGCATTTAGAAAAGAGATGCAATGCAGATAAAACTATTTCACCTAGACAGGAAGAGCACAGCATACAAGGGGATCATAGCTTAACATTCTTAAAAACAAAAACTGGAGTTTTTCAAAAAACACTCCTCTATATAGAATCAGAGCCTAAAGCTTTCTCAATAATTTCTGCTCAGTTAACATACTGACTTTATCACCAAAAGGATGAAGAAAGAGGTCTTTAAAAAAGAGGCAATACGATCTAGATGCTTCTGTATCATATAATCACCACTATGAAGCTAAGCGTAGCTTTTTTACACTGATGTCAAAGACTAAAAAAAAAGATGTTACACTGTTCTACAATCTGATTTTCTCTTTGGGATACTCAGGTGATGTAATTTTTCCAAATTCAAATATATCAAATCCGAAAAAGAGAAAATTGTGGCAAATATGTGTAAGTTAAACCAAAATAGTGTTAATTCTACCTCTTAAATACCATTCAAACCATACACTTCTCTCCTCCTACCGCTGCTCCCTGGGTTCAGACCACATTATCTCACACCTGGATCACATCAGTAGCTGCCTTCCCTCTGCTGTTAGTGATTATTTGAAAGTTCAACTGTGATCACATATCTCCTCTATTTGAAATCCATCAGTGGCAGTCAAGCTCTTTGTGATCTGGCCTTGACCTCTCTAACCTCCTCTCTTATCAAACCACCCACCTTTAAAAGCCCCAAATTTTTACCACAGGAATTTGTTTCTGTTACCTCTATGTTCCAACCTTGTTTTCTTAAGTTTTTAAAAACGTTTACTGAACTCTTACTACATGTCAAGAACTGTGCTACACACTTATAAATGCTAACATTTAATCTTTACAACCCTACAATGTAGGTACTATCAACCCTGTTTTACAAATAAGGAAAGAAGTTAAGCAGTTTGCCCAAGGTCATACCTTCAAGTTCATTCATTACCTGGCTAACTCCTTTTCAGATCTCAGTTAAAATTTTTTTTTATTAAAGATTTATTTGGCAGAGAGAAAAAGTGCATGCACACACAAGCAGGGGGAACAGCAGAAGGAGAAGGAGAAGCAAGCTTCCCGGTGAGCAGGGAGCCCGATTCAGGGCTCGATCCCAGGACCCTGAGGATCATGACCTGAGCGGAAGGCAGTCGCTTAACTGACTGAGCCACCCAGGCGCCCCCACATCTCAGTTTAGATGTCATCTTCTCAAAGACATTTGCCCTGATGACTAAAGCACAGTTTAGGTATCTTTTCTTTGTTCCCTTAAAGTACCCATTATGTTCCCTTCATAACTTCTATACTTAACTAATAAAGTTCTCCTTTAATTTTGTGTTTTGTTCTCTAGACTATAAACTCAACCAGGACAAGGCCCAAGCTGGTTGTCTTCACTGTGGTGTAAACCCAGCACCTGACTTAGTGAGAGGTACATAGTATCCTCTTAATAAATATACTGAATACCTAAGTGAGCCTAGGCATACACATACAGACAAGGTTGACCCTATATTGCTAATCTTCAAAATAATGGTAAAGAGTATTATAACCTTTTTTACCTTAATCTAGCCTGCACTGATTCTGTGGACTACCTCAACTACCAAAATGGGGAAGATTACACTTAAACTACTAAAGTCAAAATCACTTACTTTGGGCGCCTGGGTGGCTCAGTTGGTTGAGCGACTGCCTTCGGCTCAGGTCATGATCCTGGAGTCCCGGGATCGAGTCCCGCATCGGGCTCCCT